TAAATAAAGTAGAACCAATGCCGTGCATATATGCAGAGTAAAGTTAAGATACATTTGTATGGGAAACCAAGTAACCGACAATGGGTTAAGCACAGGACATACAACAAAATTGAGGGATGATAATAAATAAATAATTGCTAGCATGTTAACATTTTCTATAGAATCCTCGCTGTTTGGGATGATAACATGGGCTTGTTTGGTAGGGATCCTCCCCAACTTCGACTCCGGCTGCTTCGGAGGAGCCCTACCTAACGTTTTGTAGGAGGACTCGTTTTCAGTGAAAAACATAGGAGCCTGAGCCATTTTAGAGGAGCCACAATCCAAAATAGCTCCGGCTCCTCCAGAGAAGCTCTGCCAAACACCCTCTAGGTTTATGCATTGACCAAATATCTTGCTCGGAGCCCGTCCCTCTCTTTATCCACCGTCTTGAAGCAATCTCTCTCTGCTGCTCTTCCACTAGCGAGATAGAGAGATGCTTGGGCGCTACTCCCATTCACCATGCCTCGTGCTTGGGGCTGCGCTGCTGATGCTGCTCGCTGCGGTGGCGCTGCGCTAGTGCTAGCTGCTCGTTGCGGCACTGCCGAGATGCTTGGGCACTACTCCCATCTTGCCACACCTCGTGTTTGGTGCCGCGGCGCTGGTGCTGCTTGCGGCGGCAGTGCTCCCTTCCCCTGTAGCTGCGCTCGGGGCCGCTATTTTGGTGCTGTTTGCAGCGGCGGCGTTGCCAGCTCAGTTTTGAGGTCTAATGCTTTAATGTGAGGTAGAATAAAGTTTAGAGCTAACTTTAGATAATCTGATTGGAGCTTTAGCTCTAAAGTTTAGATGGGGGATCGAAATAGACCATTAGTGGTGAGCCCTTACAGCATAAAGGGAAAGTGGAGCGGTTTGCATGTGCACTGCATGCAACTAAGAAGAAGAAACGACGAATACACATGCACATGCGAGGACGGAGAAACGACAAAATGACAAATAAAGAGATGGCAGACATAACTCCAAAGGCAAGACTTGTGGCAAAGGGCTTCACATAGAGAGAAAGCATTGATTATAATGAAACTTTCTCGCTTGTCTCTAGTAAAGACTCATTCAGAATAATCATGGTGCTTGTGGCCCATTATGATTTGGAGTTGCATCAGATGGATGTTGAAAAAACATTTCTAAATGGAGATTTACATGAAAATGTTTACATGGCTCAGCTAGAAGGTTTTGCTATGGAAGGAAAAGAACATCTGGGTTGTCGGCTTAAGAAATCCATTTATGGATTGAAACAAGCATCAAGGCAATGGTACCTCAAGTTTTGATGAAATAATCAGAAAGTTTGGTTTCGAGGAAAACAAGGTAGACAATTGCTTATATGTCAAGTTCAGGGGGAGTAAATTCATCTTTTTGTTCCTCTATGTTGATCACGTTCTGTTATCCAGTAGCTAGTGATGCGAACCTACTGCTAGAAACCAAGAGATTTCTTTCCTCTAACTTTGACATGAAAGATATCCGAGAAGCTGTCTATGTGTTAGGTATTGAGATACACCGAGATATAACTAAATGTGCATTGGGTTTGTGTTGGGAGCATGTAACCAGGGTACCCCAAGACACTTTGAGAAAATCCCTCGGGATGGTCTAGCTGGTCAGGGCCCAGCAAAATCACGGCCTGCTTGACCTCTTGCCCCATGAGCTGTACGAGGCCCGCCTCAACTTCTCCTGCCTCTCGACCATGCACCACGCGGTGCCCTTGACCACCTGTGGCCTTAGCCACTGGGGAAGGACGGGAGGTGGGTGGATGCATTAAATGCACCTGCTCGGATGGGACCGCACGCCCGCGCACTCCGCTGGGTACGAGAAGGATGACCACCCCTCTGACCGCCAGGCCTTGGGGTAGAGCATCATCTTATTGGGCAGCACTCCGCTGGCAGACAAGACAACACCAGGACTTGGCCGTGTCACTCAGGATGGCTCAGCATTGTCTAGATCCCATCCGACTCGACAGACGAGCGTACGATCATACCCGCTACGGATTGTGGTGCACGACCGGGTAGCTAGTTCTCCATGAACCGGTCGAATCCAATGCCCCTGTCCCAACCACGAGAGGTCGGGGAAACGGGGCCATGACCAAGGGAGCAGGTAGCCCATGATGGACAGCCGCTCCCCGTTATAGCCAGACCACGACTTCTTCCCAAAGAAACGGGCACCAGGACAAAGGCCACAACATCAACGACGAGCGCATGCCATACAGGAGGGTTGGTGAACAACCACCATTCCCACAATGTCACCACGACCAGCATAGTGCCGCCATGGCACGCCATGCCTTCTTGGCATGGGGAACAAGACCCCAATGACCCTACCCGGACATGTGTACAAAAGCAAGGACAAGATAGGATGGGTGCAGGGTAGGTGCTCTATTCAACAGTACATGATGTCCCCGCATAACTTCTTGAAGTATTTCCCATACAATGGCTTCCTTTTCCCAAATTTTCCTTTTAGCAATCCTGACATTACAAGTAGCACGTTTCATGATTAAATCACGAATTACAAATAGCTGAAAAAGCTTTATTGCTATCTCTAGAGGTAATCCACGTAGATGTAATGAAAGCGAATGACCCACAACAATGATAGAACGCCCCGAGTAATCGACCCGTTTCCTAAGCAGAGTCTCGTGAAACCTCCCCTCTTTACCCTCAATTACATCTGAAAGTGATTTGTATACTTTATTGTGACCATCCCTCATCGGTTGCCCGCTTCAATGAACAGATTTGCCTTGATTTGATATTTTGAATTGAATCAAAGCTGACCAAGTTCACTAGCTTCTCCCTCCCCTTGGGCTCTCGACCACTCGGATCGGAGAACCCCTTACTTCTACTTGTATCCCGGCCCCCACGGCTATATAAGGGGAGCCGGGCCTTAGATTACTCCTACCTCTAGCTTTCTATCCGTAGAACCCTAGCTTGCATACCCCCTGTTGTAAGCCGTTTGGAGCACTTGAATTTGAGGAACATGAACTCGCGGTCTCCAGCACTGGACAGTATAAATTCCTTGTGTCTCAAGTGTTAGCCATAGACTCCCTTGAGTAGCGTGGCGCTAAATTTACTCATCGGTTCTCAAAGCACCGACAGTTTGTCTCAAAAGACATACATCAAGAAGGTACTCAAGAAGTACAATATGCACAAATGCTCAGCCTCACCTGCTTCCATAGTGAAGGACGATAAATTTGGACAATTTCAGTGTGCAAATAATGAGTATGAAGCTTCACAGATGAGAGCGGTACCACATACTTTGGTTGTTGGAAACTTCATGTACGCTCAAGTATGTCGTCACCTGGACTTGGCATTTGTTACCAAGATGCTTGGAAGATATCAGCCAAATCCAACATTGGAAAGCCGTTAAGAAAGTCTTGCATTATTTGCAAGGCACTAAGAGTACGTTACATGCTCACATCCGGAAGGGTATGATAACCTCGAAAATGCTGATTTTGCAGTGTGTGTAGGTACTAGAAAATCTACATCAGGATATATCCTCAACCTAACTGGAGGAGCTATTTCATGGAAAAGCTCTAGGCAAAGTGTTACTGCATAGTCAACAATGTAGACCAAATTTGTGGCATGTTATAAGGCTACCAGGCAGGCAGTCGAGCTAAAGAATTTTATCTTAGGATTGAGAGTGATCAACAACATATCTAAACCGCTCACATTGTATTGCGATAATCAACCAGCAATAATCTATTCGAGTAACAACAAGTCAAGTGGTGCTGCCAAACACATTGACATCAAATACTATGTTGTGAAAGATGGAATCTAGGATCAAACAATTGATGTCAAGTACATAAGTACGAAGTTGATGCTAGCGGACCCGCTCACTAAAGGCCTACCGCCCATTGTATTCAATGGACACGTAGCCGGCATGGGTCTGGTAGGGAGCCTCTAATTCTGGAATAAAGAGGTGCACATGTGTACCATTCTCCTTTACTGTACAAACAAGTTCATTTTGAAATGGAACGATGTACTATAGTCATCAGGGTTCAATGGTACTTAATTGACTATTGTAATCCTATGTAGTGGTGTATCATTTTGTTGAGAAATAAATTTATGACAATAAGGCTTATGATCAAGGGGGAGAATGTTGGATTGATCATAAGTAGCAAATGTGAAAACTCCTAATTGGTTGTGTGCTGAGTCAGTGTGTGAAAACAAAGACCCACTGTACAATTCAAAAGTTATCCTAGGGCAAGGACAAACCTGAATCAGCCTCAACCTTTGACTAAAAGGAAGCCCCCCACCCAATGTGCAGTAGCAAGAATAAATTGAGAGGCACCCCAGGCCATCTTAGGCAAGTGAAAGCAACTAGCCATAGCAGCCACTGATCAGGCAGCTACTGCAACACTGGGAAGGATTTCCCACACCTAGCCTCCACTGCGTTCTTGCCTGCTCCATGCAGGCATGGGTCGTCACTTGAACTAATGACTAACTCATCCAACGAAGGTATGAACAACAGCACTGGTTCCATTCATATTCTTGTGTCCTAGTGGTAGAGCTTAATGATCCTGGAAATCTGACAGGCGGCGGCTTCAGGTTGGTGCAACCAACTTAAACATGTTGCAATTCGCTGCTTTACCTGAAATATGATCCATGAGATGATCATCTGTATGTTTTCCTCATTCAGCATAGCAGCCCTTTTACAATTACCGTGCATATATATTGCGTTGCATTGTGCAGTGAAGAAGAATGTAAGTGAACTAAGCAGAAACTGGAATATTTATACATATAGCAGCAGCATGCATGTAGATGATCAGAAACTATGGAGTAACAAAAAAGAATCCAATTCACCTCCTCCTATGCCGGCCGCCTAGCAACAAGAGGCGCCCTATCTATGGGGATCTCGCTTACCCGACGCGGACAAAGAAGTTGCGATTGCCTGGTGTTCCATCTTGGCAAACACAATGTAAACACAATGTAAATTTTATCTCATGAACTTTCGACGAACTATTTGTAACCTCAAGAGGTGCTATTGTTGGTCTACTTGAAGAAGTTGCCAGTCTTCATGGCGTCCTCGTTGGCTGCACCAAGAGCAGCCTCGTTGAGGTACTTGTCAGCAAGCTGCACACGCTTGACGTTCTCCTGCTCCGCCACCAGCATGTGGCCGTACTCCAAGAGCTTCTCGATCGTCATCTTGGGCTGCTCGAACGTCGGCGGCCCGTCCTTGGAGTTGACGAGCTTCTTGGCGATGTTCTCGACGCCGGTCTCGGCCACCCACCGGCGCACCTCGTCGTCGTACACCCGGGCACGCAGGGCGCCGAAGAAGTCGATGGACTGGCCCGGGAAGGTGTCGACCAGCTGGACGACGTGCTCCTCGTCGACGCCGTCGGTGCGGAAGATGCCCTTGCACACGCCGATGCGGTCCTCGCGGGTGGGCGCCCAGTAGAACTTCTCCATACGGCCGTCGCGGATGAGTGGCGCGTACAGAGTGGAGAAGTCGTTGCCGGTGACGATGATGGGCACCCGGGCGTTGTCCACCTTGTTGTACATCCCCGGGAGCTGCACGTTGGTGGGGTTGTCGGCGATGTTCATCAGGGTGGCGTTCACCATCTGGTTGTTCACCGTGTACTGGGTGGTGCCGCCCATGCGACCCGCGCCGGCGTCGAGATCGTTGATGAAGAGGCAGGACATCTTGCCCTTGGAGATGAGATCGGCGGCCTCACGGTACCGCTGCCTGATGAGCTTGGCGGGCTCTCCAGCGTTGCCGCTCTCCAGCTCTCCGGCGCTCATCATGATGGGGCTGAATATGCATCCAGATCAATATATTGATATATATGTAGGAGTATGTATGTATTATCGAATCGAAACGAAAGACGAACGAATCAGCACAGCACAGCACGTACATGATGCCCATCTTGGCGAAGACAAGCTCGCATTGGAAGGATTTCCCCTGACCTTTGCCTCCCCAGATACCCAGGATCAGGGGAACCTGCAGATGGATATATTAGGGATATATATACAGTAGTGGGTTATATATATAATTATTTATTTAGCACTTTAATAACTAATTAAATCATCTATATATCATGTGAGAAATTAAATTATTGTATCATCTATGAAATGAAATGAAATGAAAATATAGTACGTACTAATCTATAGTCTATACTTATAGGACCGACCGGACCGTACCTTGATGTTCGGCAGCTTCATGAAGTTCTTGGAGAGGTGGACGACGAGCTTGTCCATGAAGCCCCTGGCTATGTAGAAGCCATCCATGGTGTTGTCCATGCTGTAAGTCTTTTGGCCCTGGCTGATGTAGTCGTAGGAGCTGAGCACGGCGACGTGGGTGCCGTCCCCCATGGGCGCCTGGAAGAGGGAGTCGATCATGCCCTTGCCCCTGGTGATGTCCTGCTGGTCGTCCGAGATGTCGAAGGCCAGGCCCTTCCACCTGTCCCCGTCCGTCTGCTTCGTCTCGTCCACCTCCTTGGCCGCCATCACCTTGAACCTGTTGGCGGCGCTGCTGGAGCTCTTGCCATGGTAGTTCACGGCCGCCGCAGACACCTGCTGCTTGTTGAGCTTCTTCCCGAGGAAGCTGCTCCTGCTCGGGGTGGAGGCCTGCATATATATATATATATATATATATATATATATATATATATATATATATATATATATATATATATATAGACAATATATATGCGTCAAGGAGAAGGAGAGGCAGCCAGGCAGGAGATGATCATGACATGAAGAAGAAGAAGAAGTTGAACTAGCTAGACGTATGGAAACGACAAAGCAAGCTAAAGGACACCCACCGGAGCTCCGACGGTGGAGGAGAAGGCGGCCGCCATTTCTGGTTTTTGGACCTTGCTAGCAAGGAAGTAGGAACACACACAGCACACGCACCTGATGGCCACCGCCGCCGCTGCTCAAAGTACTGAGGTCGAGCCACGCACGGCATTAAATAAAGAGCGAGCACGTATGGTGGTGGTGGACTGGTGGCCTGGCCGCCGTTGCGGTGGCTGCCTATGGCCGGCAGTTCAGCAGGGAAGGGGGATCGTCTTGTGGATCAGCTTCCACATCTCCCTCAGGCCACACGCTGAGGATGAGGTTCTGCACACGTGGCCACATCCCGGCCGGCCAATAGGATGCTGTGCTTCGCTTGCCAAGACTAATCATTGCAAGAGCAGAGCAGACATCTACTCTTTTGGCTTGGTTTCTATGACTCTGCATCACCACACCATTTCATGATGAACCACAACCTTCAATTCTTTGCTGGACATGGATGTGGCACAACAAAAATTTGTATGCTAGCACCACAGAAATTGTTTCGACATGTATGTATTCCTTCTCTGCTATACGTCAATAGCTACAGTCAATAGCTTCTACAACATCCGCTGTTCTGACCTCAACCTTGTAATAAACTCGGCAAATATCGTCCTCATCTCAAAGAAGGATGGTGCTGAAAGCATCCAAGACTTCATGCCCATTAACCTGATCCATGCAATCGCAAAAATCATAACGAAAATACTTTGCGTTACGTCTCGCGCCGTTCATGAACGCGCTTATCTCCCCTTGCCAAAGTGCCTTCATCAAGGGCCGAAGCATACATGACAACTTCCTCTCCGTAAGAAACATCGCCAAGAAATTTCAGCAGAGGAAAAACGCTAGCCTTGCTTATGAAGTTGGACATCACAAAAAGCTTTTGATTCAGTACTACGTTGGGACTATCTTATCGCCCTACTCCAACACAAAGGCTTCCCACCATGTTGGAGAGAATGGATTTTAGCAATACTTCATCATCGGATATCCTCCAAACTCCTACTCAACGGGATCCCACTTTGGCCGATCCAACATGGACGAGGATTGAGGCAAGGCGACCCCTTTATCACCACTGTTTTTCATTTTAGCAATCGATCCTCTACAAAAGCTCTTCTCTTGCGAAACCGAATAGGCCCTGCTCAGCAAAATTGGAGGGAGAACGCTGAGATTCCGGGTTCTCCATGTACGGTGATGATGCGGCAATATTCATTAGACCGACAAAAAAGGATGTTGACAACACAACAAGACTTCTACACCTCTTTGGAGAGGCCACATGCATCAAAACAAATTTGCAAAAAACAACCATGGAGAGGCCACATGCCTCAAAACAAATTTGCAAAAAACAAGCGTGGTAGCCATCAGATGCAGCAACATCAACGTGGAGGATGTCATGGTAGCCAGTTCCTCCGCGCTCCGGACCACTCGTTGCAGCGCCACCTCCAGGTCCTCCTTCGTCACGGCAGCTACTAGCTTTGGCTTGGCCTCAGACGTGGACACCGATGGGAGGATGGTGAGCGGGGTCATGACTCCGGTGACTCGCACTCGTCGGATGATAACAACGAGGATGACGTGGTGGAGACGGAGTTTCTCTTGGGCAACCCACTAACACATGGTGTTGGACCCAAATAACACCGAATTAGTTTTTGGTTGGCCCTATCTTTTTGTGAATTGGGTTTTGGGTCAGTGGGTTGCCCCAGAAAAATCCGCATCCCTACATTTGATTGAGAAGCTAGCTTTAGATGTCTCTAAGAACCATCTAATATATGGTGTTGGGCTGTGTACATCTATGGATGTAGAGGCCGGATATTGTTTTATCCATTATCTATAAAAAAAATCTAATATATGGTGTTTTGTTTGTTTTTTCGTCTCCTAATTAGGCTTCTAGCCCAAGTTGTTTTTCAGTAGCGTTTTCCTGCTAAGAATCCATGTAGGACACCTAACCAAGCCTGACTTAACGGGATTGGTGTATTTATTATGATAACAAGTAGTACACCACTTGTGTCAACAATTTGCATTCAGCAAATGCAACCTGTATTAGGCATGGCTTCTTGATTATCACACTGATGAGAATCCAAATTAAAAGCCGTGCTAATAATTTGCTGTTTTCCATAGGAGTACTCAATACTAATTTCCTTTGCATTGAGTAATAATTAGTTACATGAGAGAGACTATCATGTAAATAATCAGCTAGCATACCTAAGTAGTTTCAAGCAGGTTTTGAGTTTTTGACACACTTGATGCAATTGCAACTAGTAAACGAAAATGTTGGCTAGGTAGCTTCTATTGGATCTGGATCAACGACGATATCCATATTGCATTGGATCAGTTGTAGACGCAGCTGGCGTCGTCGCTTCTGGCGGCAGGGTCGAAGTTGCCGGCCTTGGGGTCAGTGCACCCCTCCGGCACGGGCACGCGGACCTACTGCGCCGCCTTGCCGTACAAGTCCCCCCTGGTGATGGCGTCGTCGTCGTTGGCGTCGCCGAGCGCCGCCTCACTGAGGTACTTGTCGGCCAGCTGCACGCGCTTGACGTTCTCCTGCTCCTCCACCAGCATGCGGCCGTACTCCATGAGCTTATCCAGCGTCATCCTCGGCTGCTCGAACGTCGGCGGGCCCTCCTTGGAGTTGACGAGCTTCCTGGCGATGTTCTCGACGCCGGTCTCGGCCACCCACCGTCGCACCTCGTCGTCGTATACCCTGGCGCGGAGGGCGCCGAAGAAATCGATGGACTGGCCCGGGAAGGCGTCGACGAGCTGGACGACGTGCTCGTCGGGGACGCCGTCGGTGCGGAAGATGCCCTTGCAGACACCGACGCGGTCCTCGCGAGTGGGCGCCCAGTAGAACTTCTCCATGCGGCCGTCGCGGATGAGCGGCGCGTACAGCGTGGAGAAGTCGTTGCCGTTGACGATGATGGGCACCCGGGGGTTTTCCACCTTGTTGTACATTCCCGGGAGCTGCACGTTGGTGGGGTTGTCGGCGATGTTCATCAGGGTGGCGTTCACCATCTGGTTGTTCACCGTGTACTGGGTGGTGCCTCCCATGCGACCCGCGCCGGCGTCAAGATCGTTGATGAAGAGGCAGGACATCTTGCCCTTGGAGATGAGGTCGGCGGCCTCACGGTAGCGCTGACGGATCAGCTTCGCCGGCTCGCCGGCGTTGCCGCTCTCCAGCTCGCCGGCGCTCATCACGATGGGGCTGTGTGGGGCAGCATATATATACTTGTTCAGTACTGCTGTATATAGTCAAGTACTTACTAATCTACGTACATGACAGATTTAGTTGGCTAGCATGTAGCTTACTTGATGCCCATCTTGGCGAAGACAAGCTCACATTATAAGGACTTCCCTTGGCCCTTGCCTCCCCAGATACCGAGGATCAGAGGCACCTGATGATTGTCAGAAGCATCAAAAGCTAGCAGTTAATTAATTACTCATATGTTTATTTTGACTTTGTAAGTGATGGACCCAATTAAAGAAGTGATCGATCTAGAAAAAGATTTGGTCAGATTATTTGTAGAAATTCCCTTAATAGCTAGCTTACGGCCTAATTGTTTGGGGTTCTCTGAGAGCTTTTGGATATTTCAAAAGAAATAAAAAACCCCAAAAAGACAAAAGTCAGAAGCTCACCAGCTTCTGTGCTTTAGGCTTATGTGAGTTGTTTGATTTTTGGAAACTCCAAAAGCTAGTAGAAAAATGACAACCTGAGAGAAAATGTGAAATTTCTCCATAATTGATTGCTCGATATATATTTGTTTGAATTTCATATATTTTTAAAAACTACTTTGGCCAGACTCTGACTTTTCTACTGGGCCCTACACCACATGGACGTAATCCATTTTGTCTTCAATCGAAAGGAAAGCTTGAGGACGAAGTGCCTAGTGTTTTTGAATTAAGCGAACAAAATGACTACTGAACCTTTTCCTCAAACAAAAAATGATGTGTGTGTATATATGTAGGCACATGCATGCATGTACAGTAGAGTATATATGCATGCTGGTATAGGTTTACATGCATGCATGCGTACCTTGATGTTTGGCAGGGTCATGAAGTTCTTGGCAATGTGGACGACGAGCTTGTCCATGAATGCGGGCGCGATGTAGTAGCCATCCATGGTGTTGTCGAAGCTGTACTGCCTGAGTCCCTGGCTGACGTAGTCGTAGGAGCTGAGCACGGCGACGTGGGTGCCGTCCCCCATGGGCCCCTGGAACAGCGGGTCCACGCGGCCCTTCCCCCTGGTGATGTCCTGCTGGTCGTCCGACGTGTCGTAGGCCAGGCCCCTCCACCTGTCCTGCTCCGTCTCGTCCACCTCCTTGTTCACCGCCATGGCTCTGACGATGAGCCCCCTGCCGCCCTGCGGCTGGTACTTGTTCACCACCTGCTGCTGCTGCTTCTTCCTGATGCTGATAGTGAGCTTCTTGTTACTACCCCCGAGGAGGAAGCTGCTCGCCGCCGTGGAAGTACTCACCGGCGCAGCGACGGAGGTGGAGGAGAAAGCAGCAGCCATAGGTGCTATAGTATTGTAAGTGATCGATCGAGCTGCTGAGATCGGAATCTGAATCGGGGGATATGATGATATATGCTAGTAGCTGATGCTGAAGAATGCAAGCTGCCGCGGTTATAGTAGCAGTTCCCTTATATATATAGTTGCTGTTGCAGATCGTCGATGGATATTATATGCGTGCATGCTCTTGATCCTTCCCGGCCGCGGCTCTAGAAGACACCGACCTGCTTGTTGTTACCTGCTAGTACTCACTCACTCAATCACTCCAGTGATCGCGCTTAGCTCGCGCTAACGTCCAAGAACTAGAAGGCAGGCAAGCAGCAGCAGCAATGCATGCATATGCGACACGTCATCACTCCCGGCTCCACTGCAGTGCATACATGAATATTCTAGAGCGATCTAGCAAGTTGTACTGTACTATACCCCACCTAGCTATAGCTAGTTTTGTCGATATGAGGACGAGGATGAGAGCAGGAGGACGAGGAGGCGAGGAGCCACACCCACACGCTGTGGATCAGATTACGCGCGCTACCTGCTGCAGCATGGTGGGACATCGACCGACGCTCGTGGCGCCACCCTTCACGTCCTTCACTCCATCAATAGATACAGGACAAATCGGAACTAATAATAATGTCTCGTTTGTTATAGACGTACTATTTCAACGAACGAACAATATTTTTCTCTCACAACAAATTTGTAAACAGTACCTTCAGCCGACTTTTCATGAAAGCAAACAGGGCCAATGAATTTTTTTTGTTTTCTACTTTAGCTTACCGAACAACTTTATGAGAGTGATGCTGAAGTTGTTTTAGTGACCTATTTGGTAAAATATATAACTTATTATGATACACACAAAAAAACCCAACCATAATGCTTAGATTTTCTTTTCCTTGTCTATTTTATCCTCATCTCCTTCTCCCCAATTTTGGGATAAAAGTGATTTTATTTCAAAATTTCTATTTATCTGTTTACCATGCCGCAACCGTTTTGCTCCGAGATATACGCGCGACTCCTGACTTCCCTTTTCGAGTCTTATATAACGTCCCAATAGTATCTTTTCTGACTAACCCGGCCTGTTTGCTTTCCCCTTCTTTCTCGAGCAAATCTCAACAGCCGACGCCGCCATCGCCAAAGTTCAACCCTAGCAAATCTTCCGCCCCGTCAAGCTCTTATTCAAGCGGTCTTCCTCAGATTTATATTTGTCTCGGCGGTAATGGCGACCAATGACCACGTCCCCAAGGTATGCTTTCAAGCTTCTATTCCCCAAGTACTGGCTGCTACCCTGAATTTCCTTTCCTTTTAAATTTATTTCATTCGATTTCTAGGAAATGAGGAACGAAGTCTTAATTCCATCGGCTGTTGTCTCCAATGTCTATTTTCATGGGCCTATGGGTGACTCTGACCCATCTGATTTTATCCGCCAAGAGACCAACCAAATCCCCTTCAAACAATCTGCGGTAGATTTGTCTTCCTGGACTATCAAAACCTCCTTCAAAAACTGGCCTAAAATGCCCAAGGGGTGGAGAGATTGGTTCCGTAGGGTATCCGAGAAAAAGGGCGGAGATTGGGAGGTGTATGATTTGAATCAATGTTTGACACTCTCATTGTCCGGGATGGAGAGGAATGATTCACTCTTGATTTCCGCATCTTATTTTTGGTCTAATGCCCTAAACGCTTTTGTTTTCAGTCATGGCCCGATGACCATTACCCTGGCCAATATTTACATATTGACCGGCCTTAGAATAACTGGACCAATGCAGCCTTATGAATACTTGAGCGCTGGTTCCAAGAGATTAGCCAAAATATCAGATTGCTCAGGATGGACAAGTTATATTATGAACCATATTGGAGACGAATCGACTGTTAGTGAAAGGGAATATGTGGTCTTTCTGAATATGTGGTTGGAGAGATTCGTCTTCTATGGGTCATATTGTAGTCCGACTTATAATCACAAACTCATGGCAGAGCATCTAGCAGTAGGCAAGGATATCCCTCTGGGAAAGTATCTGCTAGGAGCTGCTTATCATCTGATGTACCAGGTAGCCGCACAATTACTGAAGAATGAGCCAGTGCATACCATCAGTGGCACTTGGTGGTTGATACAAATGTGGCTCAACCTGTATATGCATAAGATTGTAAGGTCTGATTTTAGAAGCCTAAGTTTCTCTTCCTCAAACTTTGATGAGGAATATAGAGGTGAAGGAAGAACTCGGCAGTGCATGAGCTATGGTGAGGCTGTATCGGCCATAACAATCGATATCAATATTGGCAATCTCTTTAAAAAGATTTACAAAGGGTTCGATGCAGGCATCCTAACTTGGCTACCATATAACGAGGACGAGAACGATGAGCTGATCTTCCCATTCAAATTCCGATTTGAATCGGGCTGTTCGGACGAGGCAGCAGCTGCAATCTTTAATTGTTTTATCAAGCCCTGTGTTCTTCCAGCCAAATTTCATCAAGGACGTGGCAAAATGGCTACAGGTTCCTTCATCCTAGGCAACCTTCCAACTTATGAGGTTTACAACCCTTCATTTGTGGCTCGTCAGTTTGGCCTCGGTCAATTGCCTCCTCAACTGTTCTTCAAGAACATACTGAAGCCACGGGAAGATATCAGTGAGGTGATGGAAGCCTCCAGAGTCTTTCAATTTGGATCAGATCTTCCTTCCCTTTGCTTGCATTACTGGATCAGGGTTATCTTATCTTCCACTCTTTTTGATTCCTGGTGGCAAGAATGGCGCTCCCACCTCTTCTGTGGTCCGGTTCACCCTTTGTGCATAGCTCTGGACGGAGAATTTGCTTCTAATAGTGAGGTAACTTTTCATTCTAGCTTTAGAGAAATTACTTGGTGAATTCTCCTGCCAACTGCTCTAACCGACCCTTTCAGGATATTGAATTCGATCCTCCAAGCTTGGATTTGAAAGGACATCCTATAGATTATCAGCCACCATGCCCAGTCTCAAGAATAGGATCGGCCGCACCTTCACTGAAGAAATTGATAAAAACTCATGCTGCCCCCATGATCGTGACATACCAATCTTCAAAGCACAAAGCAGTCCAAGGGACAACCCAGAAAGCCATTACTGGGAAAAGACTTCATAGAACGAGACCATCAGCTGCTCAGGAAAACAATCCATATTCTTCTCAAACTGATGTTCAACTTCTGATCCCCCTTTTCATAGTTATCAACCATTGCATCCCAATCCACCCTGGGCGCGGAGCTGCTGTCCCAGCCGTTTGATTAAGTGCCAACTGAACCTTTATCGGCTGATTCTCAAAAAGAGCTGATTTCAGTGGAAATAACCAATGCTCCCACAATGGCAGAAAATGTGAGTTTTTTTCCATTTTATCCTTGATGCTTGTTGGAGTATTTTCTCAAAAGTTCCTGATTTCATTCAATTTCCATCCTTCATCTGATTTCTTGCCATGTCAGATACTTCCCGAGGAAACACCTATGCAAGAGCAGGAGTCTGATAGTCTCCTTATGGAAAATAATCCTGCCGTTGCTGATATCCAAACTGCCGATTCCCCGGTTCGACACACAACTGATGGTAAGAAAGTTATATGCTTAGCTCATTTCTCTACAACAAACATGAACTAAAAATCTGCCCTGAGGTTTGCAGACGTCAATGTTGAGAGTTCAGAGCCGACTCAACCAGACATCACTGGTGCATCATCAGTTGTTCCTTCTTTTCAGATAGAGGCTACCGCAGAGAAGGTACTATATCCTCTTTGCCATCCATTTTTTATAAACTAATTTAAACCTCCTAATCAAGATTTCCTTATACACAAGCACTCAATCTTCTAGCCCTGAGTTACTCTTTCAATCTTGAGGAGTATCTTGATGAGGATGAAATCAGTTTGTCAGCCACTTCCTCCAAGGAAACCTTGCCAGAAGAGACAAAAAATTAGCTAAGAGATGTTCTGCCAATGTTTGAGAAGAATATAGCTGATTTGGTCCAAGACATCGATCCAATGCATAGTCTTCTTGGCCATCAAGGGTAATCCATCCCCAGCTCTCTCTAGAGTCTTGTCTCCTTTTTCTATCTCTGAAGATAAGGTCCTGAAGGTGAAACAGGCTCAGAGGAAGCTGTTTGATCATGAAACTTTATTGGCCAAGGGGAACTCTAACAAGCAAGAGGCTAAAGAACTATCACAATTGATTGATCACTTGAAGAACTCCTCCCTCAGTATTGATCCAGAATTGTCTCAACTGGAAGCCAGGCGTGCAGAACTTGAGAAGGATCTAGAAAACATGAAGGCTGCCATTGATCATCATAAGTCCACCCTAGCTCAAATACCTGATGCCATTCAGCAAAAGAAACAGGAACTGCTGGCCAAAGTCAGAGAAGGTAGAGCCATCCAAAGTAGCCTTGAGAGCATTCCCGGATTAGCCGAAGAAGATAAACAACAGATCGCAGGAGCTGATGCTATTTGGTTAGAAGTGTTGAAAGCGACCCAGGATGTTCTAGACTTGTAATTCGTGTATCAACATATGCCCTATGTAGAACCAATGACAATCATACTTTCCGTTGTCTCACTGTGTTTCCTTTGTTTCGGCTAAAGAGCTGATTTGAAAGTAGCCGATTCTAGACTCCCGATCTTAATCCCTTGTAGGTCTGAAAACTCAGCCTTTATTAAGTGAACCCTTCGATTTTATGTCCTTAGTCACCCGGCGCCGTATTCTCTTTGGTATTAGCGAGGTGATGCTTTGCCTCCTATTAATTATGGTTGCCTTTTGCACGTCCCGAGGTGTCCACCTCTTCGTTCCGTGGCTTCAAATACCAGCCGAGGGTTTCGGCCTCGAACACATCTACACTTGCAAATGCTCCTGTTCCTTTGCACTTCTCCACCCTCACAGAACTCTGTAGCGGCCTTCCTGCCTTCCTGTAGATCCGATCAAATTCATGGCCAACGAGGAGAACCGCGGTAAGCGTTCGGCGGAGGAGGTTCTGGAGGAGAACATGCCGGTGAATCAGCGCCTCCGACGCATGAGGTGAGAT